CATTACTGTGTAAAACCAAATACAAATCCTTACCTTAAAAGCAAGATCATTTTAACCAACCCTGCTGGTATCAGCCCTGCTGCAATGCCAAACCTTCTCAGCAATGTCCTTATAAGCCTCTGTTTTCAGGCATTCATAGCTTGAATGCAAAATGTGCTTTTCACTAAGGTTTGCCTGATAAGATCTCAAACTGCAAGCTCAGTGAATCTGTTTTCACCATCACAATCAAAATAAAATAAATCTCTGGAAGCTGCTGTGAGGTAGATGAAGGTAGAGGGTCTGATTCTGTGCCTTCTGCCCCACACCAAGCTGCTCTGAATCAGATGTCAGCCCAGGTTCAGTCCAGTCTAGAGCAGAAATATCCCAAGTCCATTAATCACAGGCACAGACACAAAAATGCTGGCTGGGCTCATGTGTTTGCATCCATGGATGGGCCCAGCACTGCAGGGTTGGTTCTTAACCAGCTCTCTCAAGAACTCTCAACCTTTAGGTAGAAATTTAAATATTATCAAAGAAGTCAATAGCTCAGAGCTGTGTCCCAAAGTGGTTCTGTAGGGAATGAGTTTCTCAAGAGTTTTTTCAGGAAACCAAGCATCAAGAGCTAATATGTTTTGGGGAAGACCTTGGAGCCCCTTCCAGTGCACAAGGGGGCTCCAGGAGAGCTGGAGAGGGACTTTGGACACAGGATGGAGAGAGAGGACAAGAGGAGTTGGTTTTAAACTGAAACAGGAGAGGGATAGGTGGGACATTGGAAGGAATTGTTCCCTGTGAGGGTGGGCAGGCCCTGGCACAGGTGCCCAGAGCAGCTGGGGCTGTCCCTGGATCCCTGGCAGTGCCCAAGGCTGGGTTGGACACTGGGGATGGGAACATCTGGGACAGGGGAAGGTGTCCCTGCCATGGCTGGGGTGGCACTGGGTGGGCTTTAATGTCCCTCCCAATCCAAATCATTTTGGGATTCTGTGACTTCACCTGACAGAACCAACAGTGATGGGGATCAAACAAGTGTCCCCAAAGCCTCCTTGGCCACAAGCCAAGGATTTCCTTAGAGAATATATTCTAACCTCTGGTTACTTAACATGAAAGTGTTCAAAGGAAATGGAAAATATCTGTGATACACTGGGTTATTGCAAGCTAGAATAAGTATACATGAAATATTAGCAATAGAGAAAGAAAAAGAAGTTTGGAACAGTAAATATTTCCAGTAAATTATAAATATACTTTAGGATGTCTTGAGTTACGTTTCAAAGAACTCAGAATATTCTCCCACTAAGTAAAGTATTTACTCTGAATCCAGTCTTGCAACCTCCAGTCATATGAGAGTCTCATCCACAGTAACTGCACAGACCATTCAGTTTGGTACACAGTTTTAAAGCCTGCTGTTATTCCCTTCAGTGCCTTGAAATTAAAAATTTCCCTTTACAATACCATTGGATATGAGAAACAGGTTTTAAAACAACGTTCTCCATTCCAAGCTGGTCAAAATTCACAGATAAAAATCAATCATAAATGCAGCTATTACCCTTGTAAATATTTCAACAGACTTTGAATGAAATTTTGTGTAAACAACAATTAAAATCAGTATGTATCATGCATAGAAAAAAAAATTAAATAAACCATCACATTGTGACAATTTATATTAAAAATACCTTCTCCTCAGGGAATTTATTAAATAGCCATGAAGTCTAACCTAATGACTGGTAGGTACTGAAAAGCTAATATTATTTTGGATACCTACATACTACTTCCAAATCCCCCAAAGAGGTCAGCATCAACAAGGAAATAAACCCCAAATTCCTACCTCCTACATTCCCACAGACAAATAAACATCGATATTTGTATACAATCAGTTAAGCATATTCTAAGAGAAGCATAAATAAAGAAAGAAAAAAAGAAAAAAACCCTGAGGGCTCATCAACAGAGCTGAAACTGCTTCCAGACATCCAGCATTAATAATACACACCTGCTTTAGCAGGTATCAACTTGAGATGTGATTATACAATATTCAGAGTTCTTGGCTTTGGTCAGCCATGGTTAAACAGATGCTGAAACTGGAGTGTGTGAAGAGTGGTGTTGGAACATCCTGTGTGCCAAACACTTGAGCTCTTAAGGCTCCCCCTCCAGACCATCATTTTGCTGCTTTTCAGCAGTTTTCAGTGATTAAAGATGAAACCCGAGTGCAGTTTCTGTCCTTGGCTGCATCTTTGCAATGAACAGGAAATAGGAAATACAGCAAATAGGAAACCTGTCCTGTGTTCCCCCATGCAGGGCAGGCAGTGGGGGCCACACCAGCCACCATTCCTGTCTGTTGTCTTCCTAAAAGTGCCCAGCCAAGATCTTTCCTAGAGATATGGAACAGCTCCATCAGGACAGGATGGATAAATGCTCTCCCAAAACAGAGCAAGTGACAAATTCTGCCCCCCAAAGCTGTACATCCCTGCCTCTTCACAGGCAGAGAATTGTCTCAAAGGCCACCACTGGTCACATTTTCTCTTGGTTTCCAGTATCTAGAGTCAAGGACCTGATAGAAATCTCTCCCTGGTGAGGTCAGGCTGCCCAAGGGGCTGTGAGCCTCCATCCTTTGAGTTTTCCAAGACCAGACCACAGGAAGCCCTGCACAACCCAGTGGGATCCCAGAGCCGACCCTCTCAGAGCAGAAGGCTGGACCAGAGCTCTCCTGGGGTCCCTTCCAACCTGCCCTGCCCTGGAGTGCTGAGAAATCCTTCTCCCTCTCTCCCCTGTACTCCTTCTGACCCCAAAATCAAGCCTTCTCTAGGAATATTTTCATTTGTGCCTTAATATTTTCTTCAGGAAGTCTGCTGACCCTGAATTAAAGTTCAGTTTGAGAGGGAATTATGTCTTTATGAACAGTCAGCTATCTCACACTTTTACTGTTATTTCATTACTGTCACAATCCTTTTTCCCCCAAAGCAAGAGCTGCCAGCTCCATCTTCCAAATGACCATTGTAATGAAACACTTGATTTTCAAATGTTCATTGAAGCAGGAAATATTTTACACCCCCTGAACTTTCCAGAAGCTCAGGAGAACGCTTTTTCCCCCTTAACAAAAGTTTCTCATGGCTCTGTTGTGTGATCTGTGTGGAGGAGTTTATGGCTGGGCAGGTTGGGATACCTGGATCCTGACTGAAAGCATCTCTTTAGTTAAACTAGAGAAAGTCATTTTTACAGGCAGTGAAAATGTAGTTTTCAGACATAAAACTAGAGTGTAAGAGACCATGAGATGCCAGTCCCTCAACCTTCTGCCCTTGGATAATCAATCTGTGCTGCTCCCAGTAAAAGTGTACCCCGGTTTCTTTAAAAAACAAAACTTCTCTGGTATAGATTCCAAAATCTCCCTTAGAAATTTTTAATTCAAGAGGCAAGGACAATATAACAAGCTCTGATGGTTTTGGTTGTTGTCATTATTTGAAATGTGTCTTATTTCTGTTCTATTTTCTATTCTCTGCTTGTGCAGTATGCAATGGGAGCTTGGACACCCAATGACCTTGTGCTAGGAGAGGTGATCACAGTGCTGCCTCTCTCCCTGTACACCTGGGGAAACAATTCCCTGCCAGCCTGGCAGCTGTTCCCTCCAGTGCTGAACCTCTTGACCACTCAGAGCTGAACACTCATTTGGCAGGAGACAATCAGCAGGGACAAGCAGGGGCAGGCAATGGGCCCCAGACACAGAACGGCACAGAACCTGTCAGAGCACGAGTTACTGCTGCTCCAGGACTGCCTTAGCTCACACATTCCTCTCTTGAAAGCTTCTTTTTATTAAGTGTACACCGTGGATTCCTCTGAGCTAGCACTCCCTTTCTGGCTGCATCCCATCTGGAGTGGGAATAAACCACTTCAGAGAAGCTTTTCTGGGCATGATGAGAGAGGTATTGGCTAATGCCTCGTGCTCCCAACCTTCACCTGCTGGCCCAGGGTCAGGGGACCCGGTGCCCCACTGCAGGAGCACAGCCTGGCTTTGCAAAGGTCTCCTGTGAGCTTCTGAGTCAGCAGAGGCACAGCAGGGCTGCGACCTGGCTCACCAAGCCAGCTACAGAGAGAGTCAGGAGGGAGGGATTCCGGAGGGAACCATTGCTGAGACAACGGGAATTCATCCTGCAACAGCCTGGAGAAAAAAAAGGTGCTGGATGCAATGGCAAAGCAAATTTTGTTCAGAGATTGGACAGCTTGGTGGTCAGTATTCACTGGGGCCAGGGGCTCACAGGGACCTCCAGGCTGCTGAATTGCCTCTGACATCCTCATCCACCATCGGAGACACAACTCTTGTAGCTGCAAAATCTCTTTTTGGAATCAGATGCTAAAGGACAGCAACAGGAAAGATGGAGGGGGATTTTTTACAGGAGTGTGTAGTGACAGAACAAGGGGAAATGGCTTCAGACTGAAAGGGAGTAGGTTTAGATTAGATATTAAGAAAAAAATTCTTCCCTGTGAGGGTGGGCAGGCCCTGGCACAGGTGCCCAGAGAAGCTGTGGCTGCCCCATCCCTGGAAGTGCCCAAGGCCAGGTTGGATCAGGCTTGGAACAACCTAGATTTTAAATTTGGGCTCAAAACACTGCCAGAGGAAAGTTATCAGAGCAACAATCCCCAGTAAACTTGCTTCTATAAAGATCATCCAATTGTAGAATGTTCTACTCCACGATTTTTTTTTGGTATGAATTCAATTCCAAAAACAGAGAAAAATGGAACTTTATAGAGGAATCCAGGTCCAGTTTAGAACAAGGTGTTTTACTAAATGCAGCATTTGTATTTAATCAATATTAAAAGTCACTAACCTGTTGTGCATTTGTGCATGCCTGAATTAGTGAGGATGAACAGAATTTAACTGTCTGCATTTAAACAGACTTCTCAAAGGTTTGAGAGGGATTTTTAATCCCTGAACAGCAAATCTGAACCTGATTCAAAACCATATGCACCAAAAAACTCCTCAGGCCCCACTGACCCACACACCTGAAAGTTTTTACTGAAAAATAATTTTGCTGCTTATGTTTTGGTGAATTTTGTGTGGTTTTTCAGCCAAAGTTGAGCCAGACAGCACTGGAAGGACCACAATGGGCAGTGATTAAATGTGTAAGCAGAGGGAATGGCAGTGAAAGGGGCAGGGCTACATCCACTGTGCCCACACCATGTGGGAGCAGAAATTTGGGATCTGGGTGCCCCTGGCAGTGGAAGATGCTGTTGGGATCACCCTGCACAGGGGCCAGAGCTGCTCCCACCCGGCTCTGGCCAACAGAAAAATCCTCAGCTCCACCTCAGGATGGCCAATTCCTGGAGAGGAATATTGGGAATATTGGAGAGGCAGCACATGGGCTTTTAGCAGAAGTTGTAATTTTAAATGAAACTCTAAATCTGGGGAGGGTTTCTGAGAGCTGACCTGAAACAGAGGAGCAGACGTGGGATCGTGTGGCACCTTGGGAGACAGGCTGGCTTTTCCACCTCAGGAATTCATGTATATTAAATATGGACTTCATTTTTATCCTCTCCCACTGTCCAGAGATGTCAGAAATCAGTATAATTGCACAGACTGTCCAGACTCCCTGGGAATTATGTGTACTTTCGCTCTTTCTTTCTTTCTCATACAGAATCCATCTTTCCTCTGAATAATTCCTGCCAGAGCTGAATCACAGCCTGCCAATGTTGCAGAAAAGAATCCAACCCTTTTCTACAAAATCTCAAAACAAATATGACTTCACTTTGCTCATTTTTTTTTTTTTCCTTATTTTTTTTTTACATCCACTGTCATTTGATTCTCTTTGAATAACTTGAATGAGTTTAGGGAAGGCGTGGTACATGAGGAATCTTTGGGCAGACCCTCAGCTGGTGCACAATTGGCTTCAGAAAAGCACTGCTCAGTTACATCCTGAAGGTGCCTCACAGTGAATTTGAAAAGCTCTCTTGGAGATTATTCACCTCATGTGAATGCCACTGTTCCCACCAGCTATGTCATTTTAAGGATTTCAGCTGTTTTTAAGTCAGAGGGCAGACAATAGGATAGGACAGAGCCCAAGCAATTAACTCACTCAGGTTTTATTACTGAATCCTCAACTGGACTCCCACAGGGAACCTGTAACATTTTAGTCAAAGGAAAAAGGGCAAAACGTTAAATAATTAAAAGTTTGGAAGATGAAATTAAACAGCAGCCTATGATCTGCACACAGAAACTTTAAGAAAAACCCAATGAAACAAAAAAACAACCCAAAAGGGCATTAATTGAAACCTTTAATCCCAACAAAGTATTCATTCTGAGATAATTACCACCATAAAACCCTCTGACACTGACAAGAGAACTGTCTTCAAAAGTTACATACGTAAGCAGCTTGGAACTTGAGAGAAGAGCTGGCAAATCCTACAGAGATGTGAAAAGGAGGGAAGATTTTGGAGGGAACTGAGCCTTTCAGTGTTGTCATTCCTCTGTGAAAACATGTTTTCATCTATAAGAGACTGAAAGAGGAAAAGGCTGGAGAAGATTTGCCAGCAGAAAACCAGTTCCTCCTATAAATGCGAAACCAGTGGGTAAAAAAAAAAAATAAAATTAGTAGCAACAAACTGGACTTTGAAAGGCATTTGGGACCAAATGTCAGCAGTACAAGGTGGTTAAAACTGAAATCACACAATTCCTTACTCTTGGTGCATGAAGTGCTGCAATCTAAAATCCTCCTGCTGCGGTTCCCCTGCTCTTCCCAATTACAAACATTTCTGAGATGCACAAAATTAAGGTTGTCACTGTCCTTTGCTCCAGTCCTGCTCATTTTGGCACTTCCCCAAAGATGACAGCAGCTCTTGGAGCACAGCAGTGCTCAGTCCCTGCTCCATAAATTGGGTTTGGTTTGTGTTCCTGGGAAATGACACCTGCTTTAAATAGAGACAAGGTTGGCTGATACCTTCAATCACCTTCTCACCCTCTGTGAACTGGCTAAGAAGCTTTAGACTGACAGATAAATATTCTTGCAAAGATTCCAAAGTCTCTTTTCCTCTCCAGGAATATTGTTAAAGTCCCCCCAGAAGTGGTGCCCATCAGAGCTGCCTGTTGTGCCAAGAGCTGTCCTGGGAAAATGCTCCAGTCCATGCTCATGGGCCTTTCCTACCAATTAGTTATTCCTATATATGTGCAGATAAAAATTGCTTTGGCATGTTTTTCCTGAACATTCCTTATGGCAAAGGGATAAATTTATCAGCAACTCACTTTGTTGATGTGCTTTTAAATGCTTTTAACAGTTGTATAGTTAAACATCTCTGTAACAAGTGATTATTTGAAACAAAATAATTTGGGTATTTTTCCCTTTTTTCTCATCAAATGTGATTTTGTACTTTAGAAGTCACATCAATACGTGATATACAGAGGGGTAGTGCTCTAAAAGTTACATTTAGTTACTTTGAAACATATTCCTACTTTATTAAGGTCAAAAGTCAGGCTGCTTGTTCCCATGGGCCTTCTGGCCCTTCCAGCAGTCGTGGCATTTTTACTTACCTGGGAATAAATCTGCCAAAAGGCACCTCTAGAAGTTCTCACCCAGGGAGCAAGAAGCTATTAGAAATAGGTATTTTAAAAAGAAATGGCAATGGAGTCTTTTAGAGCAGATATTCCTGATTCACGTGAGGCTAAATGACAAAACCCAGACAGAGCCAGACCTGTGAGCACAGACCAGGGGCTCTGCAGCAGCCTGGCCAGCAATGGCCCAGCTTCAATACTGGGAGAGGGAAATCCATTTCCTTTATGAGAGGAGAGCTAAGCAAAAACTGCATTACTGAGCCCAGAATTGGTCTGGGAGGGAGCTGCCCTGGCATTGCATCCTCACATTTATGTGAGCAATGGATCCTCTGCAGGTGCTGTGGGTCTGAGCTGGCTCTGGGCTAAACCTGCAAGTGAGGGAGTCAAGAACACTCAGAACTCAGGGCATCTCACCCCAGACTCCTGGGAGAACAAGCACAAGAGCTGAGCCAAAGCAGCCCCCAAGCCCATGGGATGTGGGGATGCTTTTTGGGCAACCTGTGCCAGGGCCTCAGCCCTTGGAGGAGCTGTCAGGGTGAAGGGGAGGGTCCTGTCAGTGTCAGATCCAATGTTCTCCTTGTTTTCCTGCCATTTCTGACCATAAAGAACTGGGTGCAGCAAGGGAGAGGCTTTGGTGGCAGCACAGCAGGAAAGCTCCCCGTGCCTGCTCTCCTCAGGGACACACACACAGGGCTTGAACAAAACCATGTCCTTTGCAGAGCTGGGCCTCAACAGCTGCCACCACCCCGGACTCCTGTCACTAGTTACAGACATCTGATGCTCCTGCCAAAAAATGAAACCCACTGCTGTGTTTGTTTTCCAGCTGCAAATGCAGAGGTTGCTTCCTGCTGAGCTAAAACTGCCCCGGGCTCAGAATTATCTCAAGCAGAAATTTAAGCACCATGGCAGGTGCACATTGAAAGAGAAATCACTCAGATTGGTACCCCTCAGAGGGGATGCTGTGGAGATGAAGGGACAGTTTAGTTCCTCATGCAAGAGTTCAAAGTTTTAATGACAATAATAAAAGATTATTCCAGAAAATCTGTTGGCCACTACACCAGTGCCTCTGCCCGGTTGTGTTGCCAGTACTTTTTAGTTTACTTAAATATACTAAAATCATAGAAAATTCACAGACAACTTGCTGCTGACCACAAACACCCACACCAGCAGATGCTGAGGGTTAATACCTTTGAAACCCACCAGAAACAACTTTCCCTGCGATAACTTTTCACTGATCCTTTCCCCTTCCTACACACAAAGGTGCTGTGCTCTCTGCTGGCACCCAGGAATGCTGCCAGCAATTCACTGAGGATTGTTGGCACCAGCAGCCTCTGGCTCCCAGGTTAATGCACAAACAGTTTTCCTTCTGCTGCTCCCGCTCAGGACACTCTTTGCAATTCCTGTGTGTGCATTAGATCTGCTCCCAGCACTTTCTAGGGAGTGAATCTCCCCTTGGCTCTCAATAATTAAGAGACAATCCCTCAGCACAAAAAGAAACAGAACCAGACTTGACCACAACCAAGTTCTGAAGCAAACCTCGCCTTTCCAGCAGTAGATGCAAAATAAAGCTTTAAATCACGGTTATTTAATGCATTTTCAAGCATTTCCTTTTTGTCAAATCAGAACAGATTTCAAGTGAGGTGTGAGCTCATGTTTAATGACAACTTGAGCTCCTACTTGTATAAGAAACCTGGAATCTCTCAATGCCCTGCTTTCCTTTCCTGTAGCTATTTACAGCTGATGCTAAAATCCATATCTGAGATGGCTCCTACTGCCTGGGAGCTGCCAATCCTTCAGGACTGAAAATAAAAGGAAAAAATTTTAAAAAACCCCGGCCCCTTTGACTGGGGTGGTTTGGCTGCTCCCAACCCTCTCCATTCGCTGATCTCTGCTGCCCTCTCCTGCAGCAGCTGGAAACTCCCAGGATTTCAGTGAAATAACTCGATTTAAAGCTGCTGTAGTGGGGTGTTTAAGCTCTGAGGGGATGGAGCAGGAGTTTTTTAAATTTAAGCTGAAAAGGGAAAGCGCTCGTGGCAGCGTATTGAGCACAGCAAGGGGCAAAATAATGATAATTAACAATGAAGCTAAAATTATAATAATGCTAATAGTGATAACAGTAATTATAATAAAAATAATAGGAACCATGGTAATAAATTAAATAATAATATAATCATTAAAGTTGGAAAAATACATCCAAGATTAATAAATCCAGCTTTTGACTTAATACCACCATGCCCACTAATCCAGATTGTCCCCAAGTGCCACATCCATTTATTTTTTGAGCACTTTCTGGGATGGTGACTCCACCACTTCACTGAGGAGCCTGTTCCAGTGCTTAACCACTCTTTCAGTGGGGAAATCTTTCCTAATATCCAATCTAAACCTCCCCTGGCCCAGCCTGAGGCCGTTCCCTCTCCTCCTGTCCCTATGTCCCTGAATTAATTTAAGATGTTATCTCAAAGCACTGGAATTTCACAGAAACACAAACATTTTGAAAGTTCATCAAACATGAAAATGCGGAGGAATGGGAAAAAGAAAAATGTGCTTTGCAAATAATCTCGTGGCTGAGGAATTTGCCTGCAAAGCAGTCAGAAAGGATAAACAGATGATTTCAGTTCAATTAGAAGAATGTGCCTTGGCTTTTTGATGAGATGGTTGTGGCACAAAATAAGAATAAACTTGCTCCACACTGGCTTGGTCCTACTGGGAGAAAAAGCAGCTACCAGAAAACATCACATCCAGGTGATCTCTGGTAAATTCCCTGCTCTCTTTCCATATTAGCCAGGCTGATTTTCCTTGCATTAATCTGCCTTTTAATCAAAGCCAGGCTGAACTCTGCAGTGGAAAAAGAGAGCAGATGCTGAGGTAAACCACAGAGTAGAACTGGAAGAAACAGTCAGAAAGTAAAGGCTCCTTGGCTTGATAAGGATTCAAGAACTATTTTTCTAGAGGGAAGGGAGAAAGAAAATGCTCCATTTCTTTTTCCAGCTTGGAAAAATGGCTATGCCTGCCTTTTTTTCCCAAATCTAGGAAGCATGGGCTGGTTTGCACAGTATTTTGCATGTGCCAGCTCCTAGTTAGTTGTGCAACATAGAAAAAGCCAAAAATCAATGCTGACAATTTGAAAATCAATCTTCAGACTGTGGAAATGAAATTTTTGTGCTGTCTGCAATTAAGAAACAAGCCAACAAGTACCCCAAATCAATCAGCTGCTCTAGGGAGGGATTGTGTGCGAACAACCAGAGACTGGGATCCAGTTTGACCATTGCTGTAGGTACCAGTTAGAATTCCAGATGCAAGAAATTATTGAAACAGAACACAATAGGAAATAAAAGACTCAGATATTTGAGGGGAGGGAGGGTTTGTGTTGGTTTCTTTGGTTGGATGTTTTTTGTGTTTTGAGGGTTTTTTTGGGGTTGTTTTTTGTTTTTGTTGTTTTTTGTTTGTGTGGGGGTTTGTGTTTGCTGGCATTTTTGTTGTTTTGGGTTTTGTTGTTGAGATCCCCAGCTGCCTTTCAAAGATTGAGGCCATTGCTTTAATAAATGTCCTCGTGCTCCCAGGGCAATTTTCTTCTGCAAAAAGAAAAGTGGTTGGTCACTAAACCACTGAGGAAAAAGTTCATTTAGGAAGATAAGACCAAAAGCTAGTCTTGAAAAAATGGCATTTGCAGCAGCAACCTTGCTGGTTTTCCCTAGCACAAACAAATACTGGAGCTGAAGCCACACAGAAGAAATACACAGTAAATCCAGACAAGAGATACAGAGCTCTGGAGAAGCTCAAAACTTTCTGAAATAGCTGGATATTATGTAAAACACCAGATGAACTTGCCTCTTATATAAAGCATTATTAGAGACAGAAACCAAAAAGGTAAAAAGAGATGAGTGCATAAAAGTTCATAAACAATGAACAATGAAAATGCTGGAAAAAAGTATTTCCAAAGGCTCACCA